TCAATCAATCAATCAATCAATCAATCAATCAATCAACTTTATTTAGAGAGGGTGACATGTGACAGTATAAACTGATAAACTAGTGGCCCTCTGTGCTAAAATTGTCCTAACCATACGAATCAATTAAGTCCAATAAAATGAAAGATTAGTTTCTTTATACCCTGGGTGGACTTCAATTTATGGCCCCATTTGTGGACACAGAAACCAGAGAACATAGCAATGGATAAATAAAATATCATTTTGTTTTTTGCTGTCCAAAACGACAAATAAATATTAAAACGATCTGGATTAACTGACCAATGTGACGAATAAATGAAACAAATTTTTTTTAAGATTAGCTGACTAAAAAACTCTGGACATACCTGTCTCTTTATGCTGTCACTTTTGTGGGGGTTGAAAAACCTCCAACAGAGTTGTTTGCCTCTTTATGGCAGACATCCGATGTGTAATTTATTCATATTTTGGCAAAACTCAAACTCTGGGAAGTGGATGCAATCTTGTCAAGCATGAGTGATTTTCAGAGCATGTGGATATTTGTATTGGGCATGCGTTGTGCAGGTTTCACACCCAGATCCCAAGGTTGTGCGTAAAGGCCAGGCAGCTCATCACAAACTGTTTTTGAACGAAAGAAAAAACAAATGCAAGTCACCACCGCTAATTACTCGGAATTCAGGCAACTTTCTTTTGTGTTTTATGAATAAATGTTGGCCAATCCAAGCATCATGTTTTGTAGAAAAATGTTTCATGCCATTTGTCTCATTTGATGCAAGTTCTCAATCAAAGTAGGTAGCGAAATCCTGGGAAGTAGCTGGCGAATTTTGCCTGCTGCTGGCCGTACTAAGAATAGTGCCTTCTGGGCAGGTCCAACAATGAACGTCTGGAGTTCCTGTGAAATCTGACAACTCTGATTGGCTGAGAGTATGAAACAAATACTTTGCACATGCTCAGAAAATTAGGCCAGGCAAAGGTCAGAATTCTTGGTACCATGTATAGACCTAAAGAATCATGGCCTCTGGAATGGTGAATGTAAAACTCCAAAGTATTGCAATGGTTTAATGGCAAGGCTGTAGTCTAAAAAAAATTATGTGGAGCCCAAAGTTTCCTAACCATGAAATCTTGGGTGCCCAGCACTTAAGCTTGTATGAAAAATGGGCTGTATAGCTTAATGCTTATAGAATAAAGCTGTCATTGTTTACAAAATTTATTTCTTTTTCCTGCAGCTTCTTCTAGAACATTTAGAATGTTTAGTAGCACGACACGAAAGATCCTTGAGAATGACAGTTGTCAAACGACAAGCTGCCACCACTGGAGGTGTGTCATCTGAAGTGGAAGTTCTCAAGGCTCTCAAATCCCTGTTTGAGCATCACAAAGCTCTGGATGAAAAGGTAGGCATGACCTATTATTCAGCAAAACATGTTATAAATTGGGCGTGGGGGACACCACAGTCCAGGGATTTGTGTGTTTGACTCGGGATCAAGTAGTCTGGTTCAAGCATTAATTGGGTTCATTGTGTTGTCAACCTACGTAAGACACTTAACACTCTCTTCCTCTCTCCATTTGGTTTGTCAGGGGATAATGCAGCCTGGGAGGGGGGAGGGGGGAGGGGGCTTTGTTTGGGGTCTTCCATCCCGTGCTCTTAGTCCCTTCAGTTCTGAAGTTGATGACCTGTACAATGAGCTTTCTGGCCTCTCCAATCCTTAGGTTTGGAGGAGACTTTACCATTGTAATTTTCTATTTTCCATAGGTGCGTGAAAGACTTCGGCAGGCTGTAGACAAAAATAATGCCCTTGAAGCAGAACTTGAAGAAACACGGGAAAAGGTAGAGCTTTGTTGCCGTACATTGTGCATTTATACAGTTTAGAGATGCTGATTTTTTTTTTTTTTCATTCCTTGATCTCTATTCTTTTTATATTTTTACAGCTCAAAGAGCTTGAACAAGAAAATGAGGATATTAGACTTCGAAATCTTAGAAGAGTAAGAACTGAGGAAAAGCTTCATGCATCAAGTGAGAACTGCCAGGAAAATGGTGATGAAAATTCTAATGCTGAAAAGGTTGGTTATCAAAGCATAGTGCACGGTTACAACTTTTTTTCATGGCTAGACTTGGTAGTGGTTCTGTATGCACACACAGACAAAATAAGTTTATTTACTGGCACATTGATAATTTTCTTGCTGAAACACACCCTGTTTGATAAATTCCAAATTTTGAAATTTAGAGTCAGAGCCAGATTGAACAATATTGTTGGCTCTGTGTGTAGGCATCACTTTGTACAAGAAGCAGTTTATGCAGGGCTCAACTTTCAGGAAAAAACCTTGGGGCCAGCTGGCCCCTAAGTTTTCAGATTTAAACATCAGCAAAAGTATTTCAGTGAAAAGCGTGGAAAGTTAGTCGCTAGTGAAAAAAATTCAGTCGTATTGGCAACCCCAGCACGCGCATTGTTGAGCTCTATTATGTAGAATGCTGCCCAGGACATCGGGTTTTGAAACCTGACAGCTTGGCATAGTCTTTCATATTGTCAGCATTACATTCTATTTGCATTATCGCGTCATCATATGGACTACTAACCCAGCCTTGAAAAACTAACAGTTCTTTGTAACCTAATCATCACTTCAGCAGCATCTTTCGAACGGACCAGTTAATGTTGATGTGAGTGCACATGAAGAACAAATGGAAGAGATGCAGTTTCTTTTGGATAAACGAACCAAGGAGGTGGAACGGGTAAGGACAATTTTATTACTGCAAAGCATAATGGCTAAAATAATGTACATTTAATTGTATGGCTATCATTTAAGATAACAGGCAGGGCTTCTGACAGGATGCAGTGGTGCAGTTCATCACGTTGGAGGGAAGATCGATAATGGATATTCTTGACAAAAAACTGACTTATAATGACATACAACACATAACTCTAGGCTCAGCTGTAGCAATGTGTTAGAAAAATCCTTTTCTCATTGATAATTTTCCTCAGTCAGTGAAAAATCAAGCTGATTGGTCTTTGTTTTGTTAGACAAACTCTTCTCAATGTCTTTTTTTTTCAGCTTACAAGAGAAAATAAGGATTTGAAAGAGAGATGTACTGCACTAGAAGAAGAGTTGAGAATATGTAACAAACAGCTAGACAGAGGAAATACCTCCATTCAGAGACTGGAAAGAGATTTAGATGAGGTACATTAGTTGTCTTGATCTATTTTTGATCTGAAGTAATTAAAACTACTGTATGAGCAGATTTCAAATTTGTGGCCAAAAGTACGTGAACTGTACATGGTCAACACACCTTCATTTTGTTGTAAAAAGCCTGCAACTCAAAACATCAAATTAAAAAAGGTTGTCAAACATGTTCAATATAGATAATGGATATAGTTGTCATCCATGAAAGAAGACTGACAGGAACCACAGATGATATATATGTTTGTGTCTACCAACATTTTTTTCTTAACAAGGTGCTGTATTTTAGCCTCGTCTTATTGAATTGGTTTTATGTATTAACTTGTTAACAGGCAGCAGCCCAGAAATCCGACATGGAAGATAGAATAGCAACTCTTGAGAAGCGTTACGTTCGACTTCAGCATGAAGTCACAGCTCTGAATGATGATAATGAGAGACTGGCAACTGAGCTTGCTAGTAAAGAAAGTGAACTTATACAGGTGATTAAAAATTACAACCAGTGGTTAACTTTGAATTGATTAAACTGTATTATGTGCAAAACGTGAGGCACAGTTTGTTGCTATGTACTTTTTGATTTGAGTAAATATATGTTTATTCATTTGAACCATCTCTCTATAACGACCACTTACCTAGCTGGAACAACCAGGCACTTAACTCTATTGAATCATTTTTACAACAGCAGTCTCTTAATAACAGCCAGTTAACTTTGCTCTAGGGTGGCTGTTGTAGAGAAGTTCAATGCACTTATAATTCCTAACTTACACTGTACAGACTGCAAATTATTTCACTAGCAGCAGTCATGTTTTGGAACTGGTTCAATTCAAGTAACAAGAAATTAGTTGAAAGGAGCTATTTAAGAAAGCAAAAACATGTGCCGTGTTTCTGTCAAGTGTTAGGATAAATCTACTAGCATTCTATCAGGCATGCCATTCTCTGATTGGCTATGCCACTCAATATCTATTCTGTTGTAGATAGTGAGTAGCGTAGCAGTGTGCGCTTGTTTACAAAATGACAGCCTCTTCTTTGCGTTTTTGAGGTGTCTGTGAGGGGGATTTACATGTAGCTAAAGTTTTGAACGACTGGTAGATTTATACTGAAACAATTAGATTATTCGCTCTCGATTTCTATGCATGATAGTTGACTCGGGCTACGCCCTTGTTAACTATCATGTGATAGAAATCTTGAGTTCATGTTCTAATTGTTAAATAGAAACACAAGTGGAAGTTTGGAAGAAAAAGAAATGTTGTGGGAACACAAACCGACAGGCAAGTGTTTCCACAGCTTTTTCTGTTTCCACAGCTTTTTTAGAAAATACAGTGACAAAGTAAAGAAAACACATTGTATACTTTGATCATCAAAATGTAAATTCTCTTTGCTCGGGCCATCATTGCATCAACAGCTTATGCTAGTTCTGTGTTTCTATCGAATTATAGAAACACGATTTTAAACCAATCAGTGCAGTTCTCTTCTTTGGGCTATTTTCGAAATCACCAAGTCATGCAAGACAAACAGTTCACTCAAGGGAAATTTTACAGTACCCTAACCGGAGCAGATTATGTTTCATTTCTTTTTAGACGGAAGAGAAAGTAAGGTGTCAACAAGAAAAACTAGAACTCGCTGAGCAGAACCTTAACCAGTCTCTAAGAAAAGCTGAAGCATTACCTAAAATAGAAGAAGAATTAGCCGTACAAATGGCAGCCTTAAATGAGGTAAGTTGTACTGACATGTCATGGAGAGTACAATCAGAAACACAAATATGGATTTGAAATGTTGTACTGTTCTTTTTTAAGTTCCAGAAAGGTAAATATTTAGTTGATTGTCTGAAAACAGTTGAACCATTGCGCATATGTATTGTAAATTGAGTCTCAAAAATTGGTACCATAAAATCAGTTGCTACCAGGTGAGGTCCAGCAAAATGGAATATTGATTATACACAGTGTACTTGTACTTTAGTACAAGGGCATCAGTGCTACAATTTCAAAGCAGTAAAGAAGTTGTCAAGTTTTGCATCAGTCGTAGTTTTTTGACCTGTTTTTTAAAATGAACTAAAAATGTTGGTAAAATCAGAGGTTTTTGCTCCCAACATCAATAATGTTTCTCCCATACTAGTATTTTGTTCAAGTATTAACAACATGTTATTATAATGGTTAGCTTCACAAGCAGGTAAGATAAACCAAATTTGCACTGTGAATTGCAAAGCGAGCAGGCAAGATGTCCCTATCTTATCGGGATTCCCAGCTGTATTATCTGTTGAAAATGTTGTTCTTTATGCCATGTAATGAACTCTTTATTATTCAAGCTTGTTCTTGATGAAGTTAAGAGGGCTTGATATTGGCCTTTTCTTGTTGTGTGTTCATGGATCTTAACTACATTGCAATCCATAATGACTGCACAAAAGAACTTCAATCAGTCAATCAACACTTTATTTAAACATGTTACGCCTAAGAGCTAATTAAGCTTGATCAAAATGTGAATGTGTATGCAACAACAAAAAAACATAGCCAGTATCCGGACATCTTGATCTCGCACTTAGTCAATAACCGATATGCCATGTCTCTTTGTCTTTGAAGGCGGCAGAGAAACAAGGGTCAGCAGAAGAGACTGTTCAACAGCTGCAGACCCAGGTTCAAGACCTTCAGGCCGAGCTTAACAGGGTGAGACCACTTGTAGTTTACTTAAATAGAGTTTTGGGTCACAGTTCAAGGTCAACTCTGGCATTCTAGCTTGGGGAATGGTTCGTATTTCGACAGTGTGAAACATTTGTGGTGCCAGCCAGCACCTTTTAAATTGCATCAAGTTATGGATTTTAAAATTCTCCTCTCTGCATTAAAAATCTTCTGTACACCAAAATTAATAATACTGGGCTACAATGAGACCTGATGATTTTTCTAATACTTGTATGTTTTTAGGAGCAGGGATGGTGCAGTGGTGAGAGCACTTGCCTCCCACCAATGTGGCCCGGGTTCAATTCCGGCCCGGTGCCATGTGTGGGTTGAGTTTCTTGTTGGTTCTCACCTTGCCTGAAGGGTTTTTCTCTGGGAACTCCATTTTTCCTCCCTCCACAAAATCCCATATCTCCAAATTTCAATTCAGCTAGGATAGAGGACCTGCATATTTAATTTTTCTGATTGTAAAATTGTCCTAAAGACCGTATATGATGCCAAGTACACTGATGGCTAAAGGTCCTTTATTTTAGGCCCGGGAAAGAGAAAAGATTAAAGAAGACCATAACACTAGATTATCAAATACAATTGACAAGTTGCTGGGTGAATCAACTGAAAGACTACAAGTTCACCTCAAGGAAAGGATGGCTGTACTGGAAGAGAAGGTTTGTGATTTATGTTGAATACACGTACTGTATGTGTACATGTAGTTTGTTGCATGTATTAATTTTGACTTTTTTTTTTTAGCAACAAAAAAGTTATGTTACACCTTACTGCACTTTCCAGACCATGTGACCTCTGAAATTTAAATCAACCAACGTTTTAATTTTCTGGTGCTGTAAATTATGTTAGCAGACTTCTCAGGAAACATATTTTCAATTTTTTAAATCAGATGCAGAAGGTCTATGAGTGATTTGGGATTAGTACACTTCATTCAGTTTTGTTTGTTTATTTTTTTTTTAAGGTGTGTTGATTGTAGTCATAATTATGGTTGACCACAGACAAATATGGAATCTGTAGTTGAGTTTTGAACCTTAGACTTAACAAGATTTTGAAAAGTGAAGTAAAAAGAAACTAATTTTTAGCTGCTAGGTGAACTATTCATGCGCAGGGCTGTCAATAAGGTCTGTAACCCATAATACCTGCTACGGCTGACTATGTTTTATGGGCCCCTGATATTACAGGTGAACTGGACTATAGTTGATACAATTCACTCAATAGGTGACAAGTTTGTTACAGGTGTGAAGATCAAGGCTACAGGTGACTTGAAACTTAATGACAGCCCTGATGTGTGATTTTTGTTCTGTGTTTTTGTTAACAGGCTGCTCTGGCTCAAGAACTTACAGCAGTAAAATCACAAGTAGAAGATCTTCAAAGGGAAAAGGTAATATGAAATAAGAACTACCTAAAATCAGTCTATTTGAAGAAGACCTGGGTAGCAAACAGTCAGAATGTGACAATTGATCCACTACAAGTAACTGCATGTACAGTATATTATTAAATCACTAATAACATACATGAAAAAATTACTCGATTCTGATTGGCTGAGAGCAGTGCAGTTCAAGTGTAACACTAGTGCAAAAAGTGTAACACCAGTGCAAATTACACATCATAATTCTGGATTATGATTGGCTGAAAGACAAAAGGAAATTTTCTATGCCAATGATACAACGTAAAATGATGAAGAGAATTTTGTGCAGGCTTCAAGAAAGATCTTCCGACACTTCCTCCACGTGAATTTTAATAAGTAATCATACAGTTTTTCTCGTTCAATTTGGAATTTATTTGCACTTGTGAGTTTTTCAGAAAGCTCACTCATGCAAATTAATTCCAAATTGAACTTGAAACCATATGATTACCTATACAAAGCACACACAGATATATATGTGTCTGGATTTTTTTCCAATGGTAAGTGCTCTCATTGGCTACATGTACTTCGAGTTTACTTGACATCAATCAATAAAACTGTTTTCTGTCATTGGGACAAGTAGACTATCCTGCCAGGCAAGTTGCTTTTCATTTTCACTTGCCCGATGGGCAAGGGCCCAGGCAAGACATCTGGCAACTTAATCACGAAAAGCAAACTAAGACCTGCCCAGTTCTGAGTAAGCAAAATTTGAAAGCTGCTTGTCCAAAGGGCAAACTGGAATTCACAGTTTGTTCAAGCCATGTCAAAATTCTCAGAGCAGTTGACAAGTGATTGACATCAGAGGGTAACAGTGCACTTTTACTTGCAAGGGTTGACCAATGATTGCATCGCATCCAGATCTACTAATGTCTTTGTTGGGCTACGTACATGACAAATCACTTTCTCACTGTTCTTTGGGAAACCAGTTAATTTTGTCTCTCCTGGCACCACCCTGGAAAGAATTGTGTTTGTTTGGAAAACAAAAATGTTAGATATAAGTGTTTTCTTGAGGACTGGTCATTATTGGGGAGCAGGAATGGCACAGCGATGAGAGCGCTCACCTCCCACCAATGTGTTTCGGGTTGAATTCCAGCCTGGTGCCTTAATGTCGGTTGAGTTTGTTGTTGGTTCTCTCCTTGCTCGAAGGGTTTTTCTCTTGGTTCTCCAGTTTTCCTCCCTCCACTAAAACCAACACTCCAAATTCCAATTTGACCAGGATAGAGGACCCACATGAAAACCAACTTATCCATTGGATTGTATTGCTTACATTCACAATGTAATTTAAATTTTCTATGCAGTAGCTTTTGATCCATGGCAAGTAGTATTTTTATGTCTGATGTCTTGTTTTTTCTTGCGCAGGAAATATTAGCCCTAGAACTAGGAAGACTGAATGAAGAGTTTGAAAAACGAAAATCTACGGTACAGTATTTTTTAATGCCAATATTCAACTACAATTAAGAACAACTACCAGTTGAAAGGTCGGGTGCAAAAAGGGCATTAAGAATTTTGGTCAAAAGTGAACTTTGTGAAAAACACTCCAAATTTTGTATCTGGTTTTGTTAAGGCATGTTAAAACACTACAGTGGCAAATACTTTACAACTGAAGTTGATAAACTTGTATATTATTCTCTTCTCTATGATGTTAATTTTGTTGTAATAAAAATACTAAATGAAAGTGCAGGAGTTCACAAATTTGAGTCATTTTGCAGTGACAGTGACAGTTCTTCAGTGCATGAAGACCTAGCATAAATCGTCTTAGTTTTGGTTCAGGTGCTTTCCCACTATCTGTTGTTTGAGTGCAGCAATGTTCTACCTCCCACTTTCCTACCATCATGATGTTGACTTAAACAATAATTTTGTTAAACAGAGTGCTCCAGCTGCTGCAGTGAATGGTCCTGTTGTACAATTTGCCAGGTATTTAACTTAACAATACTAGCTTTTTTTGATACACTTTAATACACATTGAGTGCCTTCCCATAATTATAAGGTGCAGTGATGTGCCTGTTTTCAGCAGTCAAGCAGGCTCACAAATATTATATCATGTGCTTTTATCAATCTTTTACGTAACTAAGCATCTTTCTGTGAAAACCAATACCAATCATGACTTCCCATCACATTTATCTCTGCACCACATAGTTAAAAATTAAGATTCTCTGATCAGGTTACTGACGGATGCTATTATTGGTTAGTTGTGATTACTTTGTAGTACAATCATAATTCATGACAGTTATTCAGATTCCACCATATTACAAATGTGCCGTATTTGTCATTCTTAAAGAAAACTCTTGAAATGATTTTGCCTCTGCTGTAAACTATTTAGTAGTATTTTGAGTTTTTAAAGGAGCCACGTCACAGTTTGCGTATCTTGAAAAGTTTAGCCCAATTGAAGTTTGTACTTTGTGATCCATGCCAGTCTTCTCCTTCTAACCATCCTGGTTCCTTTATTGTTTTATTATCTTGTTGGTATTATTCCATCTTTGTAAACTACTGTTTTCAGTTTTCCTCTGATTTAAAGATAATTCTGTACGCTGCCAAAATAACTCAAAATGCCATGGCTGAACTTCTTTAATTTATTGAATTTTAGTGAGCCTGTTAAGCGAGAGACAAAAGGCCGCTCTGGAATAGAGGACTCACCCAGCAGGGTGTTTACACTAAATGAACAGGAGTGGCAGAAGCTAGAACAGGCAAGCGTTCTTAAGAATGTTGCCATGGCATTCGACACTGGTCGGCTCTCTGACATTGAAAGTGATGCTGGCAGTGACATCTCTGAAGAAAGAGGCGTCGGTGGTGACGCGCAGACTTTAGCATCTCTCCTACAACAGCAGATAGACATAATTAATAAAGAGCTCAAGTAAGTACATCTAACCATTCTACCTTTACACGTGTATACTACATTTTTGCTCAAAATTAATAGAAATTTCCCTTTCGTACTACCTCACATTTCTTTTAGTTCAGTGAAAGAATTTTGGTGATACATATTGAATAATTAATTATTAGTCCTTCACATTAGGGATCTTGGCATAATTTGCAGCAGTGTTTCTTCATAATTATTATTTCAATGCAGCAATCTTAGCTTCTAATAAAGTAGAAATGAGACTAATCCTAATACAAAGTGCAAATGGGAAATCACTTCATTACCTTAAGAAATCTTGAATTTGTATTTGTGATTAGCCAACTTCAGGAGGAACACAAGACAACTGAGAGGAGAGCCATTGTCCTTGAGAAGACTGTAACAAGAAGCCCAATGCATAAGCATGTGTATTCAGCTAATTCTCAACAGGTATATGTATGTTGTGCCCTTAGATTGTTTTTCATTTATAGGGTACTGTGACCTCAAATGCACACATAAACTGCAAGGTACTTGTTAAAGACTCGTGTGAAGTTGTTGAGAAGGTAATAACATAGAGATTTGTTCTTAATATTGGACTTCTTTTTTATTAATTTTTTTTTTTTTACCAGGAATTGGTTGCATCTTCTACATCTTTTCCATTTCCTCCTCTTGATCCCATGGATACAACACCAATCTGGGTATGTACACTGGTCGTGTACACTATTTAACAATTAGATTGTGAGCTTGAGACATCATAAGCAAATAATCTAATTGTTGTAGTAGAATTCTATCTTAAGGAATGATTTGTAATTAATTTTTATATTGATTAAGCATCACATGTACGCAAAATTGCTTGCAGACTGCATTTCTATTTGAAACTTGCAGCTGTGTATGCATGCTTGTCAGTCCCTCCAATAATTTTGAAGTTTAAAAGTCTGGTTACAGTTCCATGTATGTCTCTCTTTTAGTCTCATCAGGAATTGAATCATTCAGTGATATTTGTACATCTTCCTCTGATACTTCATATTTCCATTTTCAGTAGATGACCTTTAGCCACTGCACTCTCACCAACAGCTGATAGTGTAGAACAGCACAACCAATCAGTGTGCAGCATTTGAATTAGTATACTAGTAGGTGGCAGCAATCCACAATGGACTAACTCCATGTTCAAGAGAATTAGTATTACTCTTGGACTTGTTTTTACAATTTTTCTAAATTATCCTTTCGTGTTGTAGAGGTGCAGCAGCTTGATAGGTAGTGTGCTGTACTCCAGATTGAGCAGTCTAGGCTCAAGCCCTGGCCAGGGTCACTGTGTTCTGTTCTTGGGCAAGACATTTTACCCTCACAGTGCCTCTCTCCACCCAGTTGTATATACGAGAACAGCCAAATTTAGTGCTGGGGGGGGGGTAACCCTGTGAAGGACTAGCATCCCATCCACAGGGGAGTAAAGTCTGGGATTAGCTCCAGTGGTATGGACTGCTCAGCCCAATGCAGACTTTACCTTTATTCTTTCGTGTTTGTGCAGGTTAAGTCAAGCAAGGAAGGTTCACTGAACAACCTTGATGATGCACCCACCCCTCCCACACCTAGCTCAGGTACATCTGATTCTACAGAAAGTTCTAAACCCAGCCAGACAGGTGCAAATTCCAGTTCATTACCTGATGATGCAGCAAGTACAGTACCATCTACTAATGGCATGATCAAATTAAGGTGAGAGCATTGAAAACAGGGAGAAAATGGATGTTGTGTTGTGTCTTAACAATTTTTGACCAGAATCACTCATTTTGTCCAAATTAGAGCTGTGCTACTGTTTTGATAATTGAGTTATTACAGAAGTAGTTTTGACAAAAAGTATTACAAGTAGTACATGTGTATGCAGCCACCAGTTTGGTGTCCTTCGTTGATCCACAAAAGATCAGCGTAAAAACTAGAGAAACACGTGAGATTGTACCATCAATATCATTAATTTTGATTTCACCTCAGAGCTCTTTAGAGATCAATTTGTTTTATTATATTCAGGTCTGAAAATTAAAAAGATGTACCATAAATATCCATTTCTATCACCATTAGAAACATGTTCATACAAGACACAATAAAGTTCAAAACACTTCATAAAGCATGAAAGAATGAAGGATGCGAATGCAGCCATAACACTACTGGAAAAATGACCTGAAAAAATTTCAGGCTCTGAATGGGATTCGAACCCACAACCTTTGTGTTACCGGTGCAATGCTCTACCAACTGAGCTATCAAAGCCACATGAGAGCGGTTGTGTGTGGGTTCGGCCCGATATGTTCAGTGGACGTAATACTCGGCTCAAGTATATGAAATTTGGGATTGATTTCATTCAATCAATCCCAAACTTTGCATCAAGATTCGTTGTTTTTTTTTTTGTCTCAGAGTATGTAAAAGGTGTAACTTTGTAGGATTTAAAGTTTGGAATCTGAGAATTTCAATGATAATGTCAGATAAAAGCCACCAATAAACATAGATAATTTGAAGATTGATATTGAATGTGGCATGTTTTGAGTCCAAGCATTGTCCCACAGTCCTGATCAAACACCAGTGGCTTATTTAGTAACTGCAAAAATGCTCTTAACAGTGACAAGTAAATTGGTTCCATCTTTCAGGGATAACTCAGTGGACTCATTACCAAGTGTCACAAGCACAACAAGTAGTGCAGAATCTTTATCAAAAAACAGCAGCAGTGGCTCGCGTAAGAAAGGCATCAAAGGATCCTTTGGGCGTCTGTTTGGAACTAAAACAAAGACTAAAAATAAGGACTCTGCGGGTGTCCTATCAGACTCGTACTCTCTTTCAAATGAACCTGTTCCAGGAGGAACAGGGCAGAGAGAGTTAGACAGGAGAATAAAAAATAAGTCACATTTGTTAGCGGAAGCATTAGCAGCTGGGACACCTTTTGCTTTGTGGAATGCGCCTACAGTTGTGGCTTGGTTAGAGGTTAGTTGATTACTTACCGGTCACTTGACATTATCACTGCCATCATAGTTGCTTGTGCAAATAGCTCAAAATGTTAAGTCAGTAGTACGGTCATTTTAGTGTTTTGGACAATATTTCTTTTCACTGTGGTCATTGGTGTGTCTAGGAAAACATGAACCACTATATCTCTGTGGACAGAAGTGCAGACTAGTGAGCTTCACCTGTGAAGCTTCTAGCCAACATTGCCAGCCAATACAAGATTATCATTATAGGTAACAGCAAATGTTCTGCTGGGGGGTGGTCATGCGATGGACTATCATCCTGTCTGAGGGCAAGCAAGAGTACTCCTAGTTGCTTCAAACTACATAAACTGGAGATAAGCTCCAGCCTAGTGCGCCACTAGGTTCCAATGCAGGCTTTACCTTTTTCGTTGGTATGTAGCATTGAGCATCTGTCTCGTCTCCTGTTTATTTTTGTTGTTATAGTTGTGGGTTGGTATGCCTGCCTGGTACGTGGCTGCCTGTAAAGCAAATGTTAAGAGTGGAGCAATCATGTCGGTAAGGGATCATGTTTTTGTATGCCTCTGTCGCTAATCATTGGGTGCATTCCTTTAGGATGATCTGGATCAGGATCAGTGATTCAAGAACGCTTGGATCATGCTGCACCAAAGGAACAAAAGAATCTATGACCAGAGTAGATTAATCAATTCCTTTGATGTATATGTACCAAGATCTGAGTGATCTTGGATCACTGATCTAGATAACCCAAAAGTAATGCACCTATTACTTTTAGTTATTAATTACAGTATATCATCATATTTTGTGTTAACTGAACTCAACTCTGCAAGCTGAAGCCTAGTGTAATTTAAAGTTTCATGGGTTTGGCTTACATGAACATGAGTGAACTGAATTCATTTCTTTATGAAGGTTTGTGCCTCTACAATTTAGATGTCATTTAAGAGCAAGAGCAAAAAGCTACCCAGAAACAAGCTACATGGGGAACATTTAAGGGCTAAGAGTTATTTTAAGAAGAAAACTATATTCCAATTTTTTTGGTGATTTCTTTCAGGCTTTGTCAGATACTGAGATTCAACATGAGATTGGAATATCAAATCCACTTCATAGGCTCAAGTTACGGCTTGCCATCCAAGAGATTGTCACTCTTACAAGTCCATCATCACCAACAACTAACAGAAATGTGAGTATGGATTTAATTAGTGCAATGTACTTAAAATAAGTAGCCTTTGTGTCAAGCCAAGAATATTGTGCAAGCCATTGTTTCCATTTGTTTAGCATCAACAGTATGCTTGTGACACTTTTTTGTTGTCTTATTGTCTTACAGTCTCTAGTGTATGGTGAAATGAACCATGACTGGATTGCTAATGAATGGCTGCCCAGTCTAGGACTTGCTCAATACAAGGTGAGATTTAAATGGTGATAAATAAACAACGAAAATTCAACTTGAGGTATGTTTTAAACTAACCACACACGAGTAAGCACTGTTAAATAGTTACATTTGTATAGTCACACACAAGGGTTTTATCCACAGACTGAAAAGTTAGAACCACAATGTACAGCACAAGACTAAAATTGTATAACTAAGAAATTGACTCTACCTTACAATAAGGCTAATCTTGAGAAGGAATCTTACCCAAACATATTTCCTCTTTCAGAGTACTTTTCAAGAATGTTTAGTAGATGCAAGAATGCTGGAACACATCAGCAAAAAAGAACACCAAAAGTATTTGAAATTAGTAGATGGTTTTCACAGGTTTGTACTCAGTGTACCTTCATTAATAACAGTTGATTATACCTGCATGACACAGACACACAAATTGACTGACTGCTTAACTGCTTAACTGCTTGACTGCTTGACTGCTTGACTGCTTGACTGCTTGACTGCTTGACTGCTTGACTGCTTGACTGCTTGACTG